AAAAAAAAAAAAACAAAAAAACTCTTAATTGGCTTTTACTGGACAGTATTTCTGATTCTAGAATCAGGTAATGGGCCTGCGGGCACTTGGATAGGGCTGGCTTGCTGTGCAAGTCATTAATAAACTTTCTTTTTCTTGCTAAAAAAAAAACAAAATAGGATCAGATAACACCTCATTGTATAAAATAAAACAAAATAAAAGTAAGTGTTCTGATGCATTAAGCACAGGATGTTGGTTTTATGCTGAGGAAAGCAGAAACAAAAAACAAAACAAAAAGCAGACGTTCTCTTTCAAAGTCCTTTTTTTTCTGAGACAGAGTCTCAAGCTGTCGTCCTGGGCATCACTGCTCAGCAACCTCAAACTCTTGAGCTTAAGCAATCCTCTTGCCTCAGCCTCCCAAGTAGCTGGAACTACAGGCACCCAACATTATGCCTGGCTATTTTTTGGTTATAGTTGTCATTGTTTGGCGGGCCTGGGCTGGATTTGAACCTGCCAGCTCCAGTGTATGTGGCTGGTACCTTAGCCGCTTGAGCTACAGGCACCCAGCCTCCAAGTTATTTTTCATAAAAGGTTAAAGCAAAAGGGACTTCTATATCAAGGGGACTGACTTGTCTGGAGATTTGACTATTTGCTCTCTCTTTCTCTGTTTTTTTTTCTCTCTCTCCCTTTCTCTTGATTTGGCTTGGTGATATGGAACTTTGGCAGAAGTGACTCCATTTTGGTTTGGTCTGTTGAGCCTAGTGTAGAAGCTCAGTTTAAACCAATGATGTCCATAAATTTTATTTAACCAACCATTGTGTATTGCTAAGAGGAAGGTAAAATGGTGCAACTGCTATGGAAAATAGTATACTAATTCCTAAAAAAAATTAACAGGGTGGCACCTGTGGCTCACTGGGTAGGGTGCAGGCCCCATATACTGAGGATGGCAGGTTTGAACCCGGCCCTGGCCAAACTGCAACAACAGCAAATTATACCAGTTGGGCGTTGTGGTGGGCACCTGTAGTCCCAGCTACTCCTGAGGCTGAGGCAAGAGAATCGCCTAGGGGCGGCGCTGTGGCTTAGTAAGTAGAGCACTGGCCCCATATACCCAGAGTGGCCAGTTCAAACAGTCCCTGGCCAAACAGCAACAAAAAAATAGGTGGGTGTTGTGGTGGGCATCTGTAGTCCCAGCTACTCAGGAGGCTGAGGCAAGAGAATCATTTAAGCCCAGGAGCTGGAGGTTGCTGTGAGCTGTAACTCCATGGCACTCTACCGAGGGTGACAAAGTAAGACTCTGTCTCT